ATTAATGCTAAAGTACAGATACCTGCAAAATCTACTTAAGTACAGTAACAAAGTATTTGTGCTTCATTACTTCCCACCTCTGGCTTATCACATAACAAGCTGCATTGCATACATTTTGACAGACGTACAGGAAGAAATCAAATTATAATTGACGTGATCCTTTGGAAAATGTTTGTTCTTAGTGTGTGGTCTATCAGCAAACCAACCAGTGTGTTTTTTGTCTTTAGATACTGATATAAGCTTCCAGTATTGGTTGTAGTTTGCACTGTGCTTATCCCTCTCAGAATAAGTGTACACAACCAGAAGATGTAAAGTTGTGCACAATGATCCTGAGGCCTGCCACGGCGGCCCCGCAACGCAAGAAAGTGGTGAGTGTGATGACAAACGTGAGCCCTCGTTATAACTGGCCTGTCTCTTCACTGGCACGTTTATATGCTTCTTGTCCTATCTGCTGTGACGCTCTGCCTGCACCCTGTCATCCTTCTTATCTTCATAAATGTCCCACCGCTCCTCCTTGTATCCTCTTCACAAGCGCCCTCACCTGTGTTTGCCCCCCAGCACCTGCCTCCCTCACCGCCCTCCTTCCTCCCTCTCTGTGTGTCAGACCCTGGTGAAGGAGGCGGTGGTTCACCCCCTGGAAGTGGAGCCGGGTCAGTTCCTGCCTCGGACCGAGCAGAGCCTGGCTCCTCCCCCTGCTCCCCAGACCTCCTCCTCCCACACGGGACGGGCCCGCATCTCCCTGTCCATCTCAGTCGGACCCGCCCCTGCCCTCCCCTCAACCGTGACGCGATCGGGCCTGACGCCGCGTCCTCCCACCCTCGAGGACGGCATGAGGGGCCGCGAGGGGTGGAGGGAGCGCAGCGGAGGCAGAGAGAAATGGTGCATCACCAAGGAGAGGGTGAGAGGAAGGCTGTCGCAGCAGAAGGAGCGGAAGGCGACGCAGATGCTCGCGATCGTGCTCGGTGAGCAGAGTAAAGTACCGACTAATTAATGAGGTGTTCATCGATGGACCGTGTACTCATAACACCTGTAGTGTGTGTGCACAAAGCTGCTCACTTTTATGTACACAAACAAACGAGGGTAGTGGATATTTCTGCATACTAAAATAAATAGATTTAATAATAACAGATGGAGATGTCAAAGGAATAGTTTCAGAAATGTGATCAACACCACTCTAATTACTGTCTGCCAAACATAAAGCTGATGTTTGTTTGTTTAGCTCAGCACAAAGATAGCAAAATCCGACAACCAGCACCTCTAATATTCACCAGTTAACATGTTATATTTTGTTGTATTGTCAGATTTAACCAACAGACAAGATATTGATTAATCTTATAATCTAAACTATCAGCAAGACAGTCAGTGAGAATGTGTGTAGAAATGGTCAAATCCTCTAAACACAAATCAAATTTGCTCACAGATCTTAGCGTGTTTTTGGTATTTTTGTAATACTTTAGTCACGCTCTAAACTTATATGAATTGCTCACATGCTGGAATAAAAAATGAAATAATAAAGAAGTCTGGGTTAAAACCGTATTCTAAAAAAACTTTCCTTTACGAGGTGTTTCAGAAAAGTTCCAGGACTGGTGCCACAAAAGATCTATTTCAAACCCAAACTACAAACTACGAGTTTTCCCCTTCAGACGATCAACCAGCACGTCTACAAAGAGATCCTGCGGCGTTTGCTTTGTTCAGAGGAGGCGAGAGTCTGCTCACGATGCCCTGAGCATCTGACAGTTCCTGGCTGAGAAGAACATCTCCGTGCTGGAGCAACCTCCCTACTCATCCCACCTGGCTCCGTGGGATTTATTCCTCTTCCCCAAGCTCAAGGGGGTCATCAAGGGGACCCGTTTTGAAGACGACATCAAGATGGCTGTGACGACGGAGCTGCAGAGGATCCAAGAAGAAACCTTCCAGGAGTACATGACGGTGTGGCAGAGAAGGCTGGGGAAGTGTGTTAGACTCCAGGGGGATTACTTCTTTTTTGTAGTTTGGATTTCAAATATATCTTTTGTGACTCCCGTCCTGAAACTTTTCTGACACTTCTCGTATATCAGGTAAGTGTTCTGCCAAAGCATCTTTTTGGCTAGAACTTGTGGCTGGATGAAGACAGAAGAAAACTGATCTATTCCTTTAAAAAAAAAAAAAATTCAGTTAAAACTGATATGAAAGCAATATGCAAATTTGGATCAAGTTTTACTACTTTCAGTAAGAGACGTGTTGTTTAATCTTGGCATCTGCAGCATCAATTTTTATGGCCTCCATTATTTATGACTCCTTACTTGATTGTATTGTGCTTCTTGCCAGCCTCATCTGTCTTGTTATTTATACGACTTGGCTTTTGTGACACAGCGACTGATAAAGTTGTCTATCCGTCTGTTTCATGAAGCCGAGCAAATTACAAATGCAGAAGTTGGCGAGATGTTTCAGCAGTGACACCCCTCCGTAACTTTTAGTGCAAAAACGCTCACGTATATATTTTCACGCATCTTACATTTCACGTCCTCTCCTCGTTTCCAAGGTGTGTTCATCATCTGCTGGCTGCCTTTCTTCCTGACCCACGTGCTGAAGGCCCACTGCAGGAGCTGCTGCATCTCGCCGTCGCTGTACAGCGCCGTTACCTGGCTGGGATACCTCAACAGCGCCGTCAACCCCGTCATCTACACCACTTTCAACATTGAGTTTCGCAAAGCCTTCATCAAGATCCTGCACTGCTAGGTCAGAGATATAAGAGGCATCAGCTGTCGAGAAACTACAGAGCCTGACATCGGATTAGGATTTGAGGTGACAGAGAATAGAAGAGAAAAAAGAAAAGATCAGGAGCTCTGACAGGCGTTTAAGGCGGAACGAGACAATACAGTGGATGGTCGATAAGTCAAAGTGTGACAAGTTTTTGGGAAAATTAAAGCTGAGACAGTTGTAACGAGCAGCTCAGAGAAGTCAGAGAAATGGAGGACGTGACAGCAGGCGCGAGAGAAAATAAAAAACAGAGCGTGACAGGTCGCAGACAGCTACAAGCGAGCTGGAGATATTTATAGAAAAGCAGACACGCACGGTGTTGTGTACATATATTTTGAAAAGGGAATATGTGAGGACAGAGGATCTCACCACAGCATCCTGACTCAGAGACTCCACAGATGTGACACTCGCTGTGACACGACCGTTTTTTTTTTTCCGATCAGGAACGCTTGATTCCTGTCAGACTCGCTGTTGTATTTTCCTGTAATCTCGACGAACCGTCTTGTTATCCGTCCACATGTCTTTCTCAGAGGACTGGGGTAAGTCAAGGCTGGAGAAGTAGCTTTGATGTAAAAAGTCCACCTCAAAATGTACTTTTATGTCTGAGAGTGGATCTTTTTTTTTTGACACCCTGCCAAAATTGTATCCGGCTACTGATGTGGCGATTGAGCGCACAACTCAGCAGACAAACTTTAAATAAGTGTGCATTAATGTGAAATGTGTTGTCATGACTTGGAGTGTACAGCCTAGTTATAAAAATAAAAGTCAACTTTTATTTTGAAAAACTCACCATCCTAATGAATCGAAAACCCGTCTCTATTTGTTCCAAAGGAGATTTTATTTTACCTGAGACGCTCGGTATGGACAGTCGAATAAAGCAAACAAGTCGGATAGAATAAATCAACAAATGACAAATGACAACACGGCGAATGAATGCGAGAACAGCTGGTTACAAAATACAGGCGATTGATAGTCCTGTAATTACATTTTACTCCCCTTGTCTGCAGCCCAGAGGTAGTAAAACCACCACGGAGCCACAGCAAGTGTAGAATCACACAGGTGTTGCTCACATTTGAGCAGTTAGCATTCAGATAGGACTCTGTGCACCCAGAGCCTTGTTTTATTTAAAACTTTTTCCATCTTTCATGTCAATCTGAAATCTCACCGTGGCCATTTATCCAGTTTTTTTTTTTTTTGTCAGTCCTGAGATTGCGAGATGTGTTCGTGGGTTTTAACTATCCTCTCCAAGTTAATATTTGAAGGGTTCTGTGGCACCTGTGCCCTTTTTTTTTTTTTTACCCTAAAGCACACACCTGAAACCACGACATGCCTCTTAACACTGCTAGCAAGTTGGTTTAAGCATATAAGTTGCCATATTTTCATACCATTATGTATTTCAGTAGCACTAATAGACTTTAGGCTAGCTTGACATTTTGGGAAGTACTACTTGTTGGCTTTTTTTGCAAAGAGAGACAGAGAGAGAAGAGGATCAGTCAATTCTCGAAGGTACAACTAAAATGTAAAAAAGAAAAACAGTCGAGACTCGATAATCCGACACTAAATGTAAAACCTTCTTTCATGTTGGCTGTCGGATTGTCAAGACGGAGGTCGAGATACAAGGAGGGCTTGATGCTTAAAGGGTCATTTGTTGTTAATTATTGTTTATAGTTGTTATAATAACTAGTGTATTGTTAGAACACTACGCATCGCTGGATTTCACGCCTAATTGACCGGTGCGCTTGTGCACGTTCCGGCCACTTCCACCCGAGGGAGCGCTAAGACGGGGTGGAAGTGGCTGGAACACACAGACAGTACTTGGCTGCTGATGCCAGTTTAGGATAGTCGTCATAATTCTGTTTCCACCATTGGCAGTGGCGGTGGAGGAGTGGCGGGCAAGATACGCTCCACCGTTACCATCCCTGTTTACTTCCACACACACTGAGCATGCTCGCTGTGTGTGACGTCGTCGTGTCCTCTTCTGCGCATGCGGGACACTTTTGGGTCGTATGAAGTTCACACAGCATCTAATTGGAAATGTGAACGAACTCACAAAAAAATCAGATTTCACAAAAAAATCAGAATTGAGCATCAAGTCCTGCAGTGTGAACGTAGCCAGTCTGTGGGATTGTTCAGTCAGATAATACGCCGCTATCCTGATTTGTGACATAAAATGTCATGTCAGAGTCAGAATCCAAGGCTGTCGGTATGTTAAGGCTGTTTTTCATGGGTTCCGTTCTTTTTTCCTAAAAACCTGTCGGATAGCAAAGTTTTCAGATTGTTAAGGGTCGAATTATCGAGTCACGACTGTATTTGCTTTCCTTTTAAACACTACTGTGTTTAATTTGTGCGAAAACTGAACTGTAGAAATGACAAATTGTTGGGATTCATTCCTAGGAAGTAACGATCTGAACTCTCTGGTATGAACTGATGAATATCTAGTGTTGTTAATTTTCATTCATTTTCTTTCAGTGTAACTGCAAGTGATAGAAATTTTGCAGCCATGTTTAAAGATCAACACCTCTGCAGCTCTTCCTACAGAGCAGAAGTTATCGTCGCGGTCAGACATCTACGTTTCCGTGTAACTCTAATCTCCCAAAATGTCAAACTTTAAAACCCATCACAGTCATTTATTTATGCTGTAGTACTGCAAGTCCTGTTATTAGAATTTTAATGTTCCAAAACACAGTCACTGGTAAACTAATTCCTATCAATTTAAAAAGCCACTGCAGAGAAAACCTCCAACATACATCTCTGTGTTTACTTCTTGGAGTTAATAAAGAAAGATTCAAGTCCCCATTCGTCAGAAAGAGCTTTAAAAGTTTATCTGGCGGTCTGTGCGACTTGCAGTTTTCTGACAGTCGCTCTGCTGTCCTGTCAGCAAACCCCACGGATGCGTCTCCCTGCACAGGATGAAACAAATGATTATATTAAGCTGCAAATGCAGCCGCACCTCGAGGGCTGCGGTGGAGACGCTGAGCAAGACATCCTTCTTTCGTCCGCTGACTGATTGCGCGGGGACGGGAAGCTGGCAGAGCTGTGTATCTGACATGCTCAGATTGCTGTGAGTTGCCCGTCAGTTTAATTGGAGTAAACAAGGCCTCTGACACCAATACGGGAGCAAATGAAGCCTGCGCGCTTTATTTATTCGCTCATTCGGTCAGAGCTGGCGGGGGAGGATGCAGCTATGGACAACAAGCAATACTTCAACATGTATTTAGTTGTGATATTAGATCATGTACTGAAGCGGCTTCGCAGTCTATAAAAAATACGAATAAATTTGATGGGGAAAATAAAATCAAAACAACTACCCGGGGACTGTTTTAGATAAACAAGACAGAAAACATTTTATACAATTAAATTCCAGCGAAACGTGAGTGACAGACAGTTTGGGAAATGTTTGTTATTTTTGTTTTTAGCTACATGAAGTTTAGTCATTCCCAACTGAACCCCCAGATGGATTGACAGGACACGTTCACGTATTCAAGCTCCCCAGAGGATAGATCTTACTGGCTTTACACCGTTTCATCTAGAAGTTGACTGTGTTAGAAGCTGGTGGCATAAAATCAGGTGCAGAAATTCATGCTCTCTTATGGTGAATAGTTAAAACTTTAGACTTTTTATCCAGTTCTCCATTGGTTGTTCGATATGCTTTCACCCAACTACATTTTTGTTGGTT